ATTAAAACCTCATTTTGGTCCTTGAACTATTGTATGGACCTTCCATTTGATCCCTAAACTCCAAAAATCTCTGATTTGGTTCCTATTATTTATTATTTTTACCTCGAATTTGTCTTTCCATTAAAAATTGCATGACGTGTACCATTAATTTATAGTAAAATGATGATATATTAAAATATTATCCTACGTGGTAGACAACATGACAAAAAATAATAACATGGAAACAAATAATAATATAGCAAAAAACTTAAAAAGTTCTTTCTTTCTCTTTTTTTTTTTCTTCTCCTTCTTTCTTCTTTCCCCTTAGGGTCTGGAACCCAGAGGCTTGATCGAACCCAACGCTTGGGCTCCTTGGAACCCGACGCTGGGTTCGTTGAACCTCGGCTCGGGGTTCCTTGGAACCTGACTCTGGGTTCGGACGAACCCAGGCACGAGGTTCCAAGGAACCCGGGTTTGGGTTCGGATGAACCCAACGTCGGGTTCCAAGGAACCCAAGGCTTCTTACAGTGGTGTAGTGACAAGGCTTTCTGGGTTCTTGCTGGAGGGGTTTCACTGTGGATGAAGGTGCAGAGATTGGGATGATGGTGCGATAAGCGTGGTGGCACTGCTGAGAGTGCTGCGGCGGTGCGGCAATCAGGATGATGGTGCGACGAGGCTTCTCACAGTTTGGACTTGGAATGCAAAATTTCAGATGGTTGCTATTGCTGTTTAAAGGGAATGAGTGGGCTAGTTCCTTGGAACCCAACGTTGGGTTCATTGGAACCCAATGCTGGGTTCATCCAACCCAGGGTCGGGGTTCCTTGGAACACGATGAACCCAGGCATTGGGTTCTTCGACAAAAAATAAAAAAAAAAATTATGTGTTTTTGTGGGTGTTGTTTGATGAAGGTGTTGTTTGATGATGATGATGAACTGATTGATGAAGAAGAATTCAAACTCGGTGTCGGGTTCATCAGCAAAAAATAAAAAAAAAATTTCTGTGTTTTTGTGGTGTTGTTTGATGATGATGAACTAATTGATGAAGAAGTAGAATTGATTGATGAAGAAGGCGAGCAAAGGAAGAGAAAAGAGAAAGGGAAAGATGAAGGAGAAAGAATTTTTAAAATTTTTATTGCCAAATCATTATGTTTTTGCTAGCTGGCTTTCCACGTGAACACAATGTTTTGATGTGTACATTAGGTTTCTATTAGTCAATGGACACATGGATAGATTTTTAATGGAGTAAAAATGGTAAATAGTAGGGACCAAATCAAGAATTTTTTTGAGTTTAGGGACCAAATCAGAGGTCTGTACAATAGTTCAAGACTAAATAACGTTTTAACCTATATTTCAATAAATGAATCAAAACAAATATCAGAAAAGGTCATAAATAAAGTATATATCAACCATTTTCTTAAAAAATACCCAATTAGCCTTTTAAAATTTTCAATAAATTCTAAAAAATACTCAATAGGTCTTGATCATCGCTATGACATTGAAAATATTTTGGGTATCATTAACCTATCTTGTTTTTCAGGATTTAGTTCTTCTGCTTCTAACATCTGGAAGAGATCCTGGTATAATTCCACGTAACCCGCACCCTCCTGAACCTGAAGGATTTGACAGCAATGCAGATTCTGGCCCTGGCCAAACTCCACAGTTACGGTTACCAGCATTAAAGAAATGGAAGTTAATGGGATCACTGTGAGGATCAAGTATTGTGATACTTGCATGTCTTATAGACCTCCTCGCTGCTCTCACTGTTCAATATGCAACAATTGTGTTGAACGATTTGATCATCACTGTCCTTGGGTTGGGCAATGTATTGGACTGGTATGGGATAATTTATTCATTTGTTTAGATTTATGTCTTGTTTTAGGCTTATTGTTCAACATCTAAAGGTCACAGGGCCCACTTTTCCCTCTCCCCCACCTCCCCTCCATCCCCAACCAAAAAAAGAACTAAATAAGAGATGGGAGAAAAGAGGATTGAAAGGTGGGAAGAGAACAAGTCTCCTCTGTATTTACTCTCTTTGTGTGTCTCTTTATCTCTCTAAGCTAGATGTTTTGTTCCCTGATTACAGTTCTCCTATTGGTGTTGGGATGTGACAATTAGTTTTTAGTTGCAAATTTCTCAACTTATTGAAATAAGGATATGTAAATAGATTCTATAAAGTTACACACTCCGTTATATTGACGGTTTTCATTATTTGTTTCATTAAAATTGATAATTTTTATTATTTGTGATATTAAAATTGATGATTTTTGTTATTTACACCATTAACGGTTATCATTATACATTCGAAGATTTTCATAACAAAATGTGTAATTTTACAGGGTAAATTGTTCACACTAAAATATCATCTAAAATTAAAGGAAGAAAGACGGTTAGAATTTCAGAAGTCATCTCTGCTGGCATGATACTTAAAACATGTGCATTTGATTTATGGTATTTCTGGATGCAGCGAAAC